CGATACCCCAGGTGCCAAGCCTAAGTAAGACCCTGAAATAAACCCCATAACTCTGCCCCCATAATAGAGCATTTCTCAATATTCATCACAAAACCACCAAGCCATATGCCATTGGAGTCACAAAGTAGCCCACCCGCAGAGGCCATACCTAAGGAACCATTATGGGCACCATCTGAATTAACTTTTATCCACGAGTCCGGCGGCGGTTCCCAACGGATAAGGCGCTGGACCCGAGCAGGCCCTAAATAACCGAGCTCACTAGCCCCTTCAACAAAGTGCATGAAACCATCCACAAGGCCTCGGATGTCCCACACCTTCCCAAAAGCGATAGCTCTCGGCCGTGGAAAATCGAACAGTTCCGCCATAGCCATATCTTCCACAAAGTAGCGCCAAAGGTACAAGTCCAAAAATCATAAACCACAAGAATGTTGGGACGATTAAGGAGATTTGACGTGAGCCATTCATGCAAGTCAAGCCGAAAGAAAGTCGGTGGCGCGGCTGACGGGACCAAACGACACCAAACCAGATTTGCAGCTGGGCAATCCCGGAGGACATGCAGGAGACTTTCCTCGTGAAACGGACATTTATGGCAACTCGCTGACGTGGATAAGTGTCGGCGGCTTCGTTCAACATTCGTCATAAGGCGACCCTTAAAGACAAGCCAAAGGAACTGTCGGATGCGCTGAGGGCCGGGCCAGCTCCATACCTCTCGCCACGGTCCCAGTCGTCACTCACGCCCTCTGTTAGAAGCCGATAACCCGAGCTAGTGGAAAACTTGCCGTGCTCTGAAGCCATCCAATATAGACGATCAGGCCCCAGTTCCGCGCGAGGCGGCGAAACCGCAGCGATACGAAGCAAAGCAGAAAGCGGGTGCAGGTTTGCGAAGGATCTCCAGGTCCAATCATGGGAAGCGGAAGTAAACTCTTTGACCGGCAATTCCATTACCTCCGGTGGTACCGGCAAGGTAGTGATGTCGCACAACCGACCAAGATAAGGGGTATAAGGCAGCACAACAGGTCGAGCTAGGCTCTCGGAGGGCCTGATGGGAACTCTACATATAGGAACGATTGGTCGTACGATCGGCAAAAAGTGACAATATTGGGTCCAAGACAGTCAATATTTCTTCAAGTTGGCCGCACCATTAGGTGGTCTAATACGAAGAATTAGGGGATAAGAAGGAATCTTACTACAATTAGTGCGACACATGGCCAAGGCCATGTGGTACTACTTGATTGGTCCTGTAACTGCCTCTGACAATAGTGGCAATGGGGGTGTACTATCGGGCAGCTTGGCTAGCCAACTCATCTAATCCGGGCAAGCTTCTAGAAGCAGGTAACCCACCCCAATAAATAGGGGTGGGATGGGCGATTTCAGCCTTTATGTCACATATCTTCCATACGTTATTTGGTATTTTATCTTCTACAAGTACTCATTTAAGCATCGGAGACTCTTCACCAAAAAACTTCTCATGTGTGAGAGTTTTGTAGTTCCGCAGGCGATCTGCCGGCGAGGAAGCTCAAGGCGAGGTCAATTCCAGCCAGTCTAGGGTCTTTTGCGTACCATTTTAACGTCGTCTGTAGGACTTTCGTACGAAAAGCTTGTGTTCACCATAACGATGGTGGGCGAAATCCAAAGAAAAAAATTAGAACCAACGTTTGATGGTACGTGGATGACCGCACGTGCGTTCGAAGGTGGCCCACCACCGGGCTTCTCTTAGACCCCGACAACCCCAATGTCTTGCCCTACGGGCTTAGTAGTTCATCGACGGTCCATATAGTTGTTGCAGGCTTCGACCGGGCTCAAGAGGCTCTAGCAACCCAAGGAGCGAGTGTTCAAAACCCAGGAGGTGATAGATTCAACCAGCGTGCAAC